AGATTAATTAACTTGTCCACCACCTCACATAGTTACTATGTGTGTATTTGTGTGTGTGTGGTGAAAACGTTTCAGGTCTACTCTCAGCAAATTGCAAGTACACAACATGGTGTTATTAACTGTAGTCACCCTGCTATACATTAGATCCCCAAAGTGTATTCATCTTGTGAACTTATATGTTTAATAATATATTACAAAGTTAATAATTTTCTCTTTTGGGACATTGGTTAAAAATTTTGTGGTCTGAATATTATTGCATTTTCTCTTCTTTGCAATGGCAACCTTACTGATACGCTGGGCCAAGCTCATTTTTGTAGCTACCTCATAGTCTCCTAGGGGCGTCCTGCCTTTGGGTACATTTAAAGGACGTGATAATGAATGGGACTCAACCAGGCCAAAATCTCAGTTAGTTGTGCTAAGCCATGAAAAGTTAACTTAGCATAAGTAATTTAGGGAAAAAGTAGAAAAGACGGGTGTCATTTGAATAGGCCAACATCGAAAATAATTAATCTAACATGAGAGCTGATATTTCTGAATAGGCACACTCCCTTTCTTCTTAGCAAATCAATTTTCTTTTGAGATGATGATAAAGTAATCAGTGCATTATTTTTTGATATTTCTTCAATAAGTGTTTCTGCATCAGGAGCACATGTACATACTGTAGCCTTTATGTTGATTGCTGTGGGCTTTGCTCTCTAAGCGGACAAGATAAAAGAGTTCATTTCCTTATACCTAGTGTATTATTAAAGTATGTGTTGTTTTATCAGGAATGACTCACCAAAGTAGAACTATTCAATCCCTTCTGAATGATTTTTCACTTTGAAATTTGGGAATTATGCCCCTTTTCGTAACAAGTGGCCAGGGTGAATGATTGTTGCAAGATGCCCCATTTCCCCATCTCAGCCAGCAGACACTCATTTTTCAAAACACCAGACTTTCACGTCTTCTTTTGAATATACACTGTTTATGGAACAGCCACCCCCATTGCTGCCCTGATAACCATTTGGAACAGCATCATCTTTTATGTTGGCGATGTCACTGCTCTGGGTCAGGTTGCAAAATAGCCAAAGAAACACATTTGTCACACAACTCTCAAGTTCTAAGAGGAAGTGATCTTTAGGTTATAAATGCTTGTGGCTAAGGCTCTCTTTTCCTAGAAGAGATCGTAAAATGAAATTGAACGAAAAAAATGAATTCTTCAGTTTGTTGGTTGGGATTTTTGGCATCGGCATTTATAAAGTGACCCATTGTGAATCACGATAATAGCACACGACACATGGAAAATCTTTGCTTGACCTGGCAGAAGTATGTTCACATTTGGCAGCTACTTGAAGGCTCCATAGGGAACATTCGTAGAACAATCAGTTTCTCTTTTGTAACAGTAAAATACATAAGAAGTTTATTTTTGATGTTAAATTCTAGATCTGTTTTAATTTGATCCCTCCTTCAGTGTAATTGCAAAAAATGGCTGCTAATGAAATTTTCAGGTTTTACTATTACTGAGTCTTTTTCGAGTTTTTTTTTTTTAATATTAGCACCTGAACTAGCAACTGTTGCCAATCTTTTTTTTTTCTTTTCTGCTTTTTCTCCCCATAGCCCCCCAGTACATAGTTGCATATTTTAGTTGTGGGTCCTTCCAGTTGTGGCATGTGGGACATTGCCTCATCATGGCCCAATGAGCGGTGCCATGTCTGCGCCCAGGATCCGAACCGGTGAAACCTGGGCCGCTGAAGCGGAGCTCGCGAACTTAACCACTCGGCCACGGGGCCGGCCCCTCAACTATTATGTTTAAGTATTTTCATATAAGTTTCAAGAATGGGTGCAGTATTATGCACTGCTAAGAGGATGTTTGGGATGTGGAGAATATCTTTACCATCTGAAGACGTGGACATAGATGTGCATGGGCCTGATGTACAAATGGTATCTTATTTTTTATCAACATTTCTCTAATTACTAGTGAGATTGGTGCATATAAATCTATTTTCCTGTGAATTTATGTATCTGTTTCCTTGTGATTATCTCTTTATAGCCTTTGCCCATCTTTATTAAGTTGAACGCATTATTTTTTAATTCATTTTTAAGTTCCCTTTAGATATTATGGATGTGAACCCTTTTTGTTATGTTGTGTAGTATTGCAAATATGTTCCCTACTCCATGACTTTTCTTAACTTTGTTTACAGTGTTTGTTGAACAAAATTTTACATTTTTATGTAGTTCTATTTGTCAATCTTTTTTCTTTTTTTATGGCTACTAAGTTTAACATCATGCTTCTAAAATCTTTCTCCCACCATTTCCCTTAATATTTCTTTAGGCTTTCTTTATTAACTTCCATAAGGTTTTATAGTTTTGCGGTTTTTTTCATAAAATTCTGGTAAATTTCTTCTTCTAATTTTTAGGTATAGAAATTAAGATTTTAGAATACATTCTTCCATAGCATTTTAGATAGCTTTAACTTTGTAAAGATTTTGATTTTTAATCCGCATGGATAGTAGGAATCCATTTTTTCCCCCAATGGATGCACAACTCATCTAGCACCATTATTAAATGGTTGATCTCTTCCCCACTTATTTGAATCGCCACCTTTGCAATATACTAAATTCAGACATATACTCGGTTCTGTTTCTGGAGTCCTTATTTTATTCTACTGATGTGTCTGTTCCTTCACTAATCCCACACTGTTTTCATCTTTGTAGCTATAAAGTATATTTGAGGTCTGATGGGGTATTTATCGCCTTCTTTTTTCTTTATTTTCTGGCTATTTTTAGATTCTGTCCTCTTCCTCCTTTAATTTTCATGTGGACTCTCAAATCTATCTACTCCTCTTAAGTTCTGCTGATACTTAACTCAGTCCTATCACTTGTTGTTTAAATTATGGCGACACTGCAACCACCTTGACTGGCTTTTCTCCTCTGGTTTTGCCCACAGTGGTCTACTCTCTAAACTGTCTTCATAAGGAAATCTGGTTATTTTGAGGCCTCGTTTAATTTTTAAAATAGCTTTGTTGAGATGTAATGTACATACCATACAGTTTTACCCATTTAAAATGCACAATTTAATGGTTTTTAGTATATTCACAGAGTTGTGTAACCATCACCACAAACAATTTTAGAATATTTTCATCACCCCAAAGAGAATCTCCATACCTTTCAGATATCGCCCCCCCAAACCTGCATCTTCCTCCTTCTTTACAACGCCCCTCTACCCCCACCCCATTCTAGGCAACCACTAATCTACTTTCAATCTTTATAGATTGGCCTATTCTGGACATTTCATATAAATGGAATCATATAGTCTGTAGTATTTGGTAACTGGCTTCTTTCACTTAGCAGGATGTTTTCAAAGTTCATCCATGTTGTGGCATGTATCAGTACTTTATTCCTTTTTATGGCCAAATAATATTCCATTGTATAGATGTACCACATTTATACTTATCCATTCATCAGTTGATAGACATTTGGGTTGTTTCCACCTTTTGGCTGTTGTGAATAATGCTGTTACAAGCCTCAGAAAAACTTTAAAGTGAGTTTATTACATTCCAATAAAAAAATTCAGTGGGAATGTTTATTGCAGTTGCATTAAATTTATAGATTAATTTAGAGAGCATTTAATTTTTTTGCAATATTGAGTTTTCCATCCAGGAAAATGGTTTTTCTTTGTATTTATTTAGACATTGTTTATTACCTACCATAAAGTTTTATAGTTTTCTTCGTAAAATCCTGGTGCATTTCTTTTTTGTAGTTTCTACTTATTTTATACAGTTTTGCCATTTTGAATAGGATTTTTAAATTAAAATTTCTATTTGTTGGTGGCAGTATATAGAACTATCGATTTCTCTATTTTTACCCTGTATCCAACTATCTTGGGAATATCTCTTATTAGTTCTAATAGTTTTTCAATTGATTTTCTTTTCTCTTCCAAATAATTAATTATATAATCTGTACATATATAATTAAAGTTTGTCTCTTCCTTCACAATATTTATATTCCCTATTTCTTTTTTTTATTTTCTGACTTTATTTGCTAGGATCTCTGGAATAATGATATATAATAGCAACTATATTAGGCATACACCTTTCTCTTTATCAACTTTAATTTTTAATTGCAAGCAATGTTACAGCAAAAATAAAAGAAATTTAATAATGAGAGAAAAATCACCCTGAATCCCATGCAAAAACGAACTTTAAAAATTACTGAAAAAAATTGTTTGTATATGTGTAGAAAGAGTAAGGAAGGATATACACTGAACTGCTGTGGGCAGTTCTTTCAGGGGTGTGGAATTCTGGAGCAGGAGCAGGGTAGAGAGCGACACCCACTTTCTGCTTTGTGCACTTCTGCGTAGCTTGGCTTTTGGCAATGAGCATTCCCTACTTCTGTAATTTTAAAATGCATCTTGGAAAAAATCCAAAGTTTCCTTAGTATGTAACGGGTGGTCTGGGTGGTCTTTGCATAACAAGATTTAGAGATGTGTGCATTGTTAATGGCTAAAATATTTAATTAGCTAAATTAGTCAACTAAACAAGACATAGATTAGATAGATAAATAGATGATAGAAAGATAGAGAGAGAGATAGAGATATTGATATAGTTATAGATATACACCTACTTGGCATTACTAGAAAGTCCAAAAACAAAAAGATGGCACAGAAAAGAAATGGGTACAAAGGAAAAGCTTACAAATCACACAGGACAGAATTCTGGGGCAGGGCAGTCACAGTTATTGTCTCCCTCCCCAGGATACCTAGGAAAATGTGAATGGGGAAATTATTTCATGGGTTGAAATGAATTTTTATTCCTCTCTAGTGTCATCAGAGTTTGATGATTTCCTATTAAAAATTTTCTTTCTGAGACACGATGGGGGAGTTTCACAATCATAGGAGGGCAGCAGTTTTACTTGCCCCAGTCTTTAGGATGCCACATCAATGATTGTACAGCCACATCTTATTACTGTCTACATTTTGGAATATGACTAAAAAAATGTACCCCTTTGGTTGTTCTCTTCTAGAATTTCCAATGAGCACTCCCCCAAACTCCAGATCCGGAGTCACAGTTACCTGAGGGCAGTAAGCGAAGTCTCCATCAACCGAAGCCTGGACAGCCTTGACCCTGCAGGCCTGCTCACATCACCAAAGTTCCGCTCCAGGAATGAGAGCTACATGCGAGCCATGAGCACCATCAGCCAGGTGAGCACCGTGGCCACAGGCCATTAGCTACACAGGGTTAGTGGAAACTGAAAGGGCATGAAGCGAGGAGGCAGTCACTCCCCACGCAGACCGCTAATGCATCAGGCAAGAGGTCTGGTCTAAATGCTACATGTGTTCGGCCACAGCAAACGCCACGTATCAACAGTCTACCAGCAGGGTAGGAGGCCTCTGCAGATGGATACAGCACATGGGGGGAGTCCTTGGAAATTCATTAGCAGTCAGTTAGCACCAGCAATTTCTCATTAAGGAGTTGATGGATGAAACTTCAGTTGTAAAGATGTTTGAAAGATAGAAGGACAGGGAAGGCATCACTGGCAAAACCAAGGCTGCGTCTGATCATAAAAGGACAAGTATTAAGCAGGTCATCAAGACAGAGACAGAGGCACAGGAAATGAGCTATGATCTATTTGCCTCAGCTGGGTCCTAGGTGAATACTGTGTCTTGGTAATGAGACCGGAGCCCACTGCTAAGAAGTGGTGTGCAGACCTGGGGATGAAGCCTCAGTAAAGGTGGCCTAATGCTGCGTCCAAAATATTCGGCTGAGGCTCCTCCAGTGCCTCCCACTGAGGGCTCAGAGAGCGTGGGAGAAGGCTGGGCTGCACAAGCTCAGGGGCAGAGCGAACCTGGGACTGTTGGAAGACCTGATCCTGCAGCTTTCAGGGGCCACCAGAGGTGCCCCGGGGGCTTCCTCTAGGAGAACAAAGAAGGCATTTTTTAAAAATGATGTTTAGGAACTCTGAATTCAAATTTATATCACAATTTTTAAAAATAGCACCATATGGGGGCTGGCCTGGTAGCACCATGGTTAAGTTTGTATGCTCCACTTCAGTGGCCTGGAGTTCACCAGTTCAGATCCCGGGTGCAGACCTGTGCACTGCTTGGCAAGCCATGCTGTGGTAGGCGTCCCACATGTAAAGTAGAGGAAGATGGGCACGGATGTTAGCTCAGGGCCAGTCTTCCTCAGCAAAAAGAGAAGGATTGGTGGCAGATGTTAGCTCAGGGCTAATCTTCCTCAAAAAAAAGAATGAAAAAATATAATAAGTACCATACAGTTAATTTAGCTTATATTTATTGAGCAAAACACTGGGCCAGATTATGCAAAAATTCAGTGATGAATAATTCCTGCCCCACAAAAGGTTACAGTCTAATGGAGAGCATACAAAAAAATATAAAAATTCTATCACAAACATTATTTACTTGAACACCACAAAAATACTCTGAGGTAGATGGGGCAAGAATGAACAATAAGAGCCACCTTTACTGAGTCAGGCACTGTGCTAACTGCTTTCTATTTTCCTAATGTTAGTCCTTGTTAACACTCTGTGAGATATGTAAGTAACCAGATGTTAAATGGAACTTTCTTTGTGGTCACAAAATTGTCAGTGAGATCCCAAAGCTAAGGAGAGAAAAGTGTTAAGTACCCAGGATTCTAAAAAGAGAGCTTCTACTCGTGAGTTCTAGGAATATGCATTTTAACAAATATTCCAAGCAATTCTAAAAAGGTAATATTTGATAAGAGCTTTGAAAACTGCTAGTCTAAATCCTATTCAAAGAATAGTGAATGCTCTAGTTTACTCAGAATACTCAGAATACTCGTAAAGGCAGCAATGGGAAATCTGTTCTGAATTTTGACCTGGAGACATTTTGCATACCAGGCCCAGGGGACTGGACTTTATTCATTAGGAATGGGAGTGCTTAAAGATTAATGAAAACTTCAGCTTTTAAGCAGGCAAGAGATACGAGCAGAACTTTGATACAGGATAATTAATCTGGCAAAAAAAAATGTAGGAAAGATTGAAGAGGATGAAAGGCTAGAAGCAGAGAAGCTAGTTTGGAAGACATTGTGATCATCAAGGTGAGCTACTGGTGGTGCTGCTGCTTATGGTGGTGGTAATGATCTCATGGTGGTGGAGATGGCGATGATGGTGGTGGTGGAGGTGAAGATGGTGAGGTGGGTAGTGGCGATGATGGTGGTGGTGGTGGTGGAGGTGAAGATGGTGAGGTGGGTGGTGGTGATGGTGGTGGTGGTGGTGGTGGAGGTGGTGAGGTGGGTAGTGGTGATGATGGTGGTGGTGGTGATAATGGTGGTGGTGGCAATGGAGGTGGTGGTGATGATAGGGGTGGTGGTGGTGGCAGACTAAGCACTGAAGTGAGTGGTAGGCTAAGCACTGAAGCATCTCTGATCTGTCAGGGTGAGATCCTGAAATAGGACTACTGCTCTCACCTTGTCCCTACCATTGAAATAGACCACCCTGCTCTAAGTGGATTCTTGAAGAGCAAAGGCAGAAACCACAGCAAGGCTCCGAGAGCAAGGCAGGGTGGGAGTCAGGGAAGCTGGCATGTGGGATTCCAGTATTTGCCCACTGTACATTTCCTTGCTTTAGAGAAATCTCCAAGATCATGCATACCTATTTATGCTGCTAACACGTGTACCAGGATACTCATTATCCCAACTCAGGGAAATAGTTGGTGCCTCATTTTGGTGAAATTTGGATTTGTTTTCTCCTTAGTTTTTTCACAATAAAAAGTATTGTGAAATACTTTTTACAATAGTATTGTTAAGCTTTGTTTAGCTTAACAAACTTTGTTAAAACTTTGTTAAGCTTATCTTTATTCTGGACAGCCTCGTGGTCATATAGCCTTCTGCAATTGTAAAATATGCTATAAATCCAGCTGTTGTACATGCAGAATACATCAGTGTACTTAAAAATTTTTGTTGGAAAAATGTTTATACACATTCACTGCTTTCATAATTTTACATATTTAAAGCAGGAGAACATGATACGTCCCCCAGCAGGACATTGCACCCACACAGATGACAGCTTTTAGTCCCTATGCTGTGGGTCTAATCTTCCTGGAGATAACATCACTTCCCAGCAACAGCTTAGTAAGAAATCAGCAAGTCGCTGAAGAGGCACATGTGGGCCTTGATGCTATGGTGGGTCAAGCTCTGCAATTCAATGGTGTAATCATTTTGCCTTAAGTAAAATACAGAAAGAATAGCCATCCTAAATGGATTCCTAATGATACATCATTTTTCTGGTTCCATATTCAATTTTCAAGTAACACAGTATCTTTAAGGATAATTTCGAACTTTCTCTTGCAGTCCCAACATTGTTAAGGATAATTTCGAACTTTCTATTGCAGTCCCAACATTGTTATTATTCAAAGGAGAATAGTTTCTGCTTCAAAGCAAAACTACCGTATATACTCTAGACTTTTCAGAAAGTGTTTGGCATTTATGATGTTGGAGATAGTCTCTCTTATGGATCACTAATAGCTGCCCTAATGATATAGAATTTAAGTGCATTGTATCCTATTCCCCTTGAAAACCTGATATATTATTCATCAAAGCTTCCTAGAAAGATCAAAGTAAAATGTTAGGAGCCAAGAAATTGGCCTAGAATAACTAAATTGTTTGTTTCTGCCATTCGTACCTCATAGAAATAAAAATCCCTAAAAACAGATTGGGCTTGGATGATAGAAAAAAATTGAACATCCTTTTATATGCTTATTCTCTTTCTTTATTTTTACTATATATGCATCTAATAAAAATGGAGGCCTTTTAAAGTAAAGCTTGAGAAGAAAGAATTTTAGAAAGTCGCCTATTTTTTAAATATTTGGCATAGTAACTATCATTTTCAAATTAGCTTAATTTATGTCTTAATTTATTTCAAGTCCAAATCTCAAATATCTTCATCTGGTTGGTAAACTAGAAGCCCAGACATATTTTGTCTGGCAATATGTTGGGTTTCTACATCATTTTTAAAAAGTGAATGTAATAGGCAGGTATTGTGCAAGTCTTAGAGAATTGGAGTAATTTGTCTTGTTCTTCCCACTACCCTATCTCACAAAATAATACCGACTATTTATGGAGTGCCTACCATGTGTCTAGAAATATAATATGCACTTGTATATATTATTTTATTTTTATCCTTACGGCATCGCTGTGAGGTAGGTATTGTTATACTCATTTTACAGATGATGAAAATGAATATCAGAAAATTCAAGCAAATTTCCCATGATAAAGTAGAAAGAGCATTAAACTACTCCTTGTCCCCATAAAAAAAATAAATCAGGGCCAGCCCATGACATAGCGATTAAGTTCAGTGTGCTACTTTGGCGACCCAGGTTGTGGGTTCAGATCCTGGTTGTGGACCTATACCACTCATCAGCCATGCTGTGGCAGTGACCCACATATAAAGTGGAGGAAGACTGGCACAGATGCTAGCTCAGGGCTAATCTTCCTCAGCAAAAATAAATAAATAAATAAATCCAAGTGGATTTAAAATACAAGCAATAAGACAAAACAACAAAAAATTAAAATTAGAAGATATGTTTATGATATTATGGTGAGAATTATAACTTTTAATAAAATAAGAATTCCAGAAAATATAAAGTAAAAGATTGACATCTATTCTAACTAAAAATTAAACATTTCTGTGTGGTAAAAGACATTGTAAAGTTAAAATATAATTGATGCGGGCTGGCCCAGTGGCATAGTGGTTAAATTCACACACTCTGCTTCGGTGGCCCAGGGTTCATGGGTTTGGATCTCAAGCACAGACCTACACACTGCTCATCAAGCCATGCTGTGGCAGCATCCCACATACGAAATAGAGGAAGATTAGCATAGATGTTAACTCAGTGACAATCTTCCTTGAGTAAAAAGAGGAAGATTGGCAACAGATGTTAGCTCAGGGCCAATCTTCCTCACCAACAACAACAAAAAAATACAATTAAGGGGGGAATTTTAAAACATATCAAGAAAAATGTTAATGTCCCAGTTGCCTAAAGTGTTTCTACCAATTAGTATGAAAAGATAAACAACCTAAAAGAATTTAGGGCAAAGTTTATGAAATAGCAAATCGGAGGGAAAAAAATTCAAAGGCCAATAAATATAGGAAAAGAGGCTCATATACACTAGTAGGCTGGTAAAGACAAATCAAAACAGCATAACATTATTTTTGACTTATCAG